TAAAATTTGCTTTGTCGTCTTGGATCTAAGAGGTAATTTCTAATGGCTCCTTACTATTCTCCTGATTTTCTAAACCTGCCTGCAGTTGAGCAGAAGAGAGGATTATGATTAGTTCAGAAATAGTTTGGGATTGTTCTGAGTTATTCTCCTTGCACTCATATTTATCACTTAAAGTAAAAGTGTTTAGAGTCTTAAACTTTACAATTTTATTTTAGATTTAGAACTGCTTATTTCCTAGTCTTTACTGATAATTTGTTCTGATTCTCAGAGTGATTTTGTTTTTTGTTCTACATTTCTCTTATTTGAATATAAAATATATTAGGGCTTTTTTCTTGTATATTTTCTCACTTGTTTTCTTTTATGTTATTTCTTTCCAATCATATTTTCATTTTTTTTCTTTATATAATTACTTTGGACTAGGCTTTTTAGCCTATTAAAAGATCCCAAGGCAAGGAAGTTTAGGACAATATACACATTTTAGAGGAGCATAAGTGGCCAGATTAAGAGCAGAAGAAAAGCTTTAAAACATAGTACAGAACTATAAATAACTTTAATTAAATCAAGCAGACCAAAATATATAATGCTTTATCAAACAAATAAGGCCAATGTAATATTGTTAGAGAGTTCAACAATTCAGGATCACATAAATGATCTTGTCATTTGTTTTCAGCAAAAAGATTGGAGGTTATATTGTACAGTTATGGTGCAACCTGTCTTCCTCAGAAACCATTCTTATCAAATCCATTGTTTTAAATTATGTTATTAACTTTGCTTATTATTTGTATGGAAGTTCCTCTTGTGGGTCTCAGAAGTTAATAGTCTGTTTTATCATTTCATTAGTCTATCCATTACCTGGTGACTTCAGATACATAAGTAGTGCCAACAGAAGTGACTATATGTAGTTCAGCATTGAACTGTGGGGTCCTTGGTGCTCTCTGAGCTTGGTTGTCTCAGTTCTTGTTCTGTTTTCAGGCTGGATTGATGTATATCATATCCTTCTAGGCCTTTTCGCTCAGATCAAGTATTGTCAAAGCTTTGCTGAAATTGAGGTAGATTATATTTCCGGTGTTTTCCTTGTCCTCTAAAATTTGCTTTGTCGTCTTGGATCTAAGAGGTAATTTCTAATGGCTCCTTACTATTCTCCTAGTTATATTACCCGACTAGGTAATATCAGTGCAAGTGAGTGTGGGGTTTGCTTCCTGTTTATATTCAGTAGTTTGTCCTGCCAGTTTTGGTGGGTCTTGGATCTAAGAGGTAATTTCTAATGGCTCCTTACTATTCTCCTAGTTATATTACCCGACTAGGTAATATCAGTGCAAGTGAGTGTGGGGTTTGCTTCCTGTTTATATTCAGTAGTTTGTCCTGCCAGTTTTGGTGGGTATGTGGTTTTCTTCTTGGTAGTTTCTTGATTATGGTATTGTTTTCTGCTTGACTGTTTGCCTGGTGTTAATCCCTGCTTATCTGGGTGTTGGCTGCTGGAGGGGATGTGTTCTGGTCTTTTTGTTTTGTTCTTAGGTTTTATATTGTCTCTTTCGAATGGTGTGTAAATATGGTTTATTTCTATGTGTCTATTGATGGCTGATTTGTCTGAATGCCAAGCTTCCAGGAAGTCCCTAGTGTTTTTGGATTTAGCTTGGTCTAGGATGCTCACAGTTTCCCAGTTGAACTGTGGTTGAGTCTATCCATGTGTTATGAGATTAAGGAGTTTTCATCGTGTCTTCTGACTGCTAGTTGGTGTTCATGGATATACCTTGCTGGTCTTCTGCTTGTCTGTCCTACGTAGTGGCTGTTACAGTCCTTACACTGTATGTTGTGGATAACTTCTGTTTTTTCTTCTGGGGTACTGGGTCTTTTGATTTATTTAAGATGTTTTGGAGGGCTTTAGTTGGTTTGTGTGTTATAGTGATGCCATGTGGTTGTAATAGTCCGTTGATAGTTTCTGAGATGTTTTTGATGTATGGTAGTGTTATCCTTTTCATAGCTTGTGTTTGTTGTTCTGTAGTGGATTGAGTGGTCAGGCACTTTTGATAAAGTTGTGTGGATATCCATTTTGTTGGAAGATGTTGTATAGGCAGTCTGTTTCCTTTTTCTGGTGTTCTGGCTGCTGCAGTGTGTTTGTACTCATCTGAATAATGTTTTTACACAGCTCCTCTTGTGGGAGGTTGGTTGTTACTTTGGTAATGGAGCACTAGGTTATTGTAGGTTGTTTTTCAATAGACTTGCATCTTGCAGTTCTAATTTACTATAGTTTCTCTGCTGATGAGGATATCCAGGAAGGGTGGTGTGTTGTTTTCGTCTTCCCTTGTGAATTTTATTCCTTTGAAGATGTTGATTGTTTCATGTGTCTTCTCTAGTTATTCCTTTTTTTTTTTATTATGATAAAGGTGTCATCTACATACCGAATCCATACTTTTGGTTGTATGTGTGGGAGTGCTATAGTTTCTAAATGATGCATTACGGTCTCTGCTATGAGTCCTGAAAGTGGTGATCCCATGGGCGTTTCTCTGATTTGTTGGTATATTTGTCCATCAAACTGAAAGTAGGCAGTGAGGCAGACATTGATAAGGACCATGATTCTGGGTATTTCAATCTTAGTGTATTTGGCTAGGTCGTACTGTTGCCACAGATCCTTTCAGTAGTTCTGGATCTATGGACGTAGAGTGCTGTGACATTGAATGGAACTATAATTTCATCTTCTTCTACTTTTAGGTGTTTGATTTTCTGGAGGCTCTGTAGTGGGGAATTTATAGAATATTCGCTCCCTTCTGTGAGATATCCAAGCTTTTTTCTATGTTTTTTGGCTATGTTGGGGGCCCTGGTAACAATTCAGTTGGACAAAGAGGTATGTCAGGTTTGTGTATTTTGGGGCATCCGTAGAAGCGTGGGAGGATGGGTCCACTGCTTTTTATCTGCCACTGTTCTTTTTTTGTGACTTGACCTTTCTTGGTTAGTCATTGAGTGTTCCCTTGATCAGGTTGTCCAGTTTCTATATTGATGTTTACTGGGATGGACGTTTCTTTGTCCTCCACTAATTCCTCGGCTTTCTGTATGTATTGTATTCTGTCAATGATAAATGTGGTTTGGGCTCCCATCTGCTGGGAGGATTATGATGGTTGGGTCCTTCTTTAGGTTTTTGAGAGTTTCTCTGTCCTCTACTTTGAGTTGGTTCTGCTTCTGTGTTCTTCTGGTCTATGGTATGATTGTCTGCCATACGTCTTCTTGGGTCTCTATGGCAAGTCCTATGGTTTTAAATGCTGCTTCTAAGGCTGCAAAGAATTCTAACTGATTAGCATTGTCTTTGTTATAGTTGAGACCTTTCTGGAGGATATTGTGTTCTGCCGTGGATATTGGGCAGCTGGACCTGTTGACCACCTGTTTGGGTTCAGGTACCTCTTTGCTTCTTGGGTTTAGCTTGAGCACTTTGGTATGGGGTTTTGTTTTCTTTTTTTCAGCTTGTTTTAGAGATGTAGTCTTGATGGTGCTTGTCAGCATTTTTGTGGGTTCTTGGCTCATGGTTTGTTCCAGTTGCTCCTTGAGGTTATCTGTGGTGTGCTGGTATTTGTTTAGTCTGAGGTGAGCATCCATGATCATTATTGGTATCATTTTTCAGCCACTTTGTTGAGCTATTTTCCATCCAGCTGTGCAGTTTATTGGAGGTTTGTATGTGACACTGGTGGGTAGGGCATGCCGTCATAGGCATTCGTGCAGAAAAATAGTAGTTCCTTGATGAAGATTTGCCTACATGCAAATTCCTCTCATTTGTGTGCTTTCTGAAGCATTTGATATGTGGTTCCAATAGAAAAGAATATATGTAGCTCAGGGTTTAACAGTGGAGTCCTTGGTGCTCTCGGAGCTTGGCAGAAGACTAGCAGAGCACATCCATGAACACCAACTATCAATCAGAAGAAATGATGAAAACTCCTTAATCTCACAACACATGGACAGATTCAACCATAATTTCAACTGGGAAGTTGTGAGCATCCTTTTTTTTTTTTTTTTTTTGGCCTTCAAGTCAGTGTTGACTTTTGGCAACTGCCTGGAGAAATCCCTGCAGTTTTATTGGCAAGATTCTTGGAAATGGTTTGGCATTGCCTCCTTCCTAGGGCTGACAGAGAGTGACTGGCCCAAGGTCATCCAGCTGGTTTTGTGCTAAGGCGGGTCTCCCAGTTTATAGCCTGGTCTTAGCCACTACACTGACCAAGCTAAATCCAAAAACGGTAGGGAATTCCTGGAAGCTTGGCATTCAGACAAATCAGCCATCAATAGACATATAGAAATAAACCATATTTAGACACCATTCAAAAGAGACAATAAAAAACCTAAGAACAAAACAAAAAGACCAGAACACATTCCCTCCAGCAGCCAACACCCAACACCCAGATAAGTAGGGATTAACACCAGACAAACAATCAGAAACAATACCCTAATCAAGAAACTATCAAGGAGAAAACGCCATCAAAACTGGCAGGGCAAGCTACTGAATATAAACAGAGAACAAATCCCACACTCATTTGCACTGATGATGTTACCTAGTTGGGTAATGAAACATCTGCAAGCAAAGAACCAAGCTCAGAGAGCACCAAGGACTCCAAATCAGTAGTAGTGGTGATGGTGGTGGTGGTGGTGGAATAATAATAATAATAATAATAATAATAATAATAATAATAATAATAATAATAATAATA